GAGGCCGGGCTGGGACTCTCCTGGGCGCACCTGTCCTGGCTGGATGGGACGCACGAGGCCGGGCTGGGACTCTCCTGGGCGCACCTGTCCTGGCTGCATGGGACGCAGGCCGGGCTGGAACTCTCCTGGGTGCACCTGTCCTGGCTGAATTGGGCGCATGAGGCCGGGCTGGGACTCTCCTGGGCGCAGCTGTCCTGGCTGGATGGGACGCACAAGACCAGGCTGCGACTCTCCTGGGCGCCCCTGTCCTGGCTGGATGGGACGCACAAGGCCGGGCTGGGACTCTCCTGGGCGCACCTGTCCTGGCTGGATGGGACGCACGAGGCCGGGCTGGGACTCTCCTGGGCGCACCTCTCCAGGCTGGACTGGGTGCACCTCTCCAGGCTGGACTGGGCGCACCAGGCCTGTTTGGGATGCACCTGGTTGCAATAAACCAGGTTGGAGTGGGTGTACTTGGCCAGGCATAAGTGGGAGACGTTGACTGGTCTGGGATTGCCCTGGATGCACTAGGCCAACCTGGGACTCCCCCAGGTGCACCTGACTGGGCTGTAGTGGGAGAAAACCACTAGGCTGGGACTGCCCATGGTGCACCTGGCCTAAATCGGACCCTCCTGTGTGCACTAGAGCAGGTTGAGGCTCTTTCACATGGTACATGTTGTTCTTTGGGGTTGTGACTTGCTCCTGTGGCTTGGGGCAGATCATGTTGATGTCATGAGCAGCAAAGACTCTTCGGTTCCTTGTTAGTTCCTCTAAACGGACCTTCAAATGATGTGTGCCATCCTAGGAAAATGTTAATCCAAAATGTTAGAATAATATACTAAAGCTGACTTATATTGTAACTAATGATTTTTTTGTTTGTGGTCAGCACTAACAGAGTAGGTAGTGCTGACCACAGTAGTTCAGCAACTGCTGACAAGTACAGCAGTGCTGAAAAGGAGACTTGTGACTGGTCCTCAAAGTTGTGGCTATCGCAGAACCCCATAGTCATGCAACTGCAATTCAGGTGCGTGACAGCTGGCTTGCATCTATGACAGTTGCAACGTCCCACAGTCATGTGATCACAATTTGCCACCTTCACAGCAGCTTTTGAGAAGCAAAATCAATGGGGAAACTGACAGGGAGTCACAAGCTCCAGTCAGATGACATCACATCATGCTAAAAAGCCCATAAAGATTTGCTAACGGCTGCATCCAGAAGTGCTGTCGCAAGTCAGCATGGTCACGTGATATTTCACATTACAAGTGTGCCACTTAGCCACCAGCTAGGGCAAGCGTCTTCAAACTTGGTCCTTTTATGACTTGTGGACTTCAGCTCCCAGAATTCCTCAGCCAGTGTGCCTGCGCTAGAGTCATTAACCAAGGACTACCTGTCATTTATCTTTGAGGGGTAAAGGGTTAAAGAGCATTGAATTATTTGGTGGATTAAGCTGTCTTTATCAATAAGAACTATTAGTTGAGAACACTTTACTGAATCAGATGCTTTTCAGAGGTACTATATCAATTCCTAACTCCTGTAGCCAACAGGGGAGTTGTTACAGAATATTGTTAAAGTAGAACTAATACACAAGTCCCATATTCAAAAGCTCCTTAAGCTAGTTGGCAAGCTAATCTTAGAAATAATTATTACATCAATTGCTCTGCTTCAGCCAGTTATTCTCTTATGCTTAAAAATGTTTTAACAGTAAAATTGGCAGGGATCTCTCCCGTCTTTTTGCTTGCAAGTATGGAATTTCCCTTCCATTGATTTAACACAACTTGTTCCTCTTTATGTGAATAAAGGGAGCCTAAAGGTGACCTGTAGGTCCTATAATGTAGGCCAGACTAAGAAACAAATTCTGTATGTGTCTGAAACATAATACTATAGTAACAGAATTCCCCTTCACTTTACCTTGATGCTAATTAGGGAGGAGGTTGTCTGACATGTTTTCTCCAATTAAATTAAAATAAATTAAAATGGACTCAAGCCCTGCTTGTCTGGTTTGGTAGCAACTCTAACTTCTGTGCTTCAGATATTATTCCCTATGCTTTTTACATTGCTCTTGAATTTGTTTGGAAAAAAATGCAGACCCAGATGTCTACATACATTATATTTCTGCCTTTCCCAGTCTGGGACCTTGCAGAAGTTTGGGAAGGCAGTTCTCCTAATTTCCAGCCAATATTGTTTTTTGTTGGTACAAATTTAAGCCAAAAATATCTGATGAAGAAAGATTGGGAAAAACTCTTCTAAGTAGAAATTCAGAAATACAATATATGTCTACAGCTCCCCCCCCCCAGCATTTTCTAGCAAAGTCTCACCTTCTTTATTACATGGCAGCCACCATAGCCAACAGAGAAGGCAACAGTCCTATTATGTGACGTGATCCAGTGATCACAGCTAGAACAGTTGGAAACTTCAAAGATTCTCCCGGATTCATCTGTTGACAAAGATTAATGCATTAACTAACAAATGCTATTTATCCAAAAAGATTCCAAAGGTAGTAGTGTTAATAGGCTCTGCAAATATGTCTTCTTTGGATTACTTACATGGTCTTCATAACCACACCACACCATTACTGAAGAGATATAAAGGCTAGAAGCAGATTAAAGAATTCAATTTCTGAAATTTGTATTTGTTATAGATTCCATGGATTCTTTGAGTTTCCTCTACAGTACAGTTAAACAAAAACAAACTTTGGATTACAATTTACAGAATTCTCCCCAATAGGCATACCAAGAGGATAATTCTGGGAGGCTACAATAGTCATAATTTAGTTTGTTTGTTCTTATGGCTAATCCCAGCCATGAGGATTTGTAAATCATAGTTCATTGTATGAACCAACCAATTATAGTTTATTTGATAAACCTCATTTAGGTAACCCAAGCTTACAATATATGAATCAAGACATAGTCTCTAAGCTGACATTCTTATAGGAGGCATTCATCTCAAAGGAAATTCTGCAAGAATTAGAAGCTAGATTAAATTATATGAAGAAAGGAACTACAGAAATCTTAGCAAGTCATAGCAATAAGCTTCATTTTAAAAGCCAAGTTTTGTCAATAGCTTTCCTGGCTTTACTTTTCTAAACCTCCAATTTCGCTCCCCAAGGATTGCGGACTTCTTACACACTCATACAAGTTGCTAATCTTTCCTAGTGTTCTAATTTACTTGTTTGTAAGATTTCCTGCTCCTATTAAATATTTCACACCAGATTATCTAGCCAAAATTATATTAGAAGAAAGCTGTTTGTGAACCATGGATTGCCAATAGCTTGTTTTTCCCCCCTGCTCTTTTTACTATAATTGTTTCTGAAAATCAGTGTAGGGCAATTAGCATGTCATATAAGACCCAGGGCAATGTGGGTTTAAATCCCTCTAACCACAATACTCTCTGGGTGACCCTAACCAATAAACAACTGAGAATAACATATGAGAGGTGAAAGAAGGCTTAAGGTTATGCCTTTTACTAAAGTTTGTTAGTTAGAAAGTGTTGCCAGGCTCCTTCAGATTGTTGGCTTCTTTAAACCAACATGGCTCTCCTTCCTAGAACATCAAGTTGTTAGGAAAACCTACATCTATTCTAACCTGTAGAAATGGCAACTAGGTATTTTGAGTCAACTTTATATCAACTTTTCACTCACAGGGAGAAAATTGACTAGCTTCCTTTTGCTTGGTAGTACAGAATATACAGGCATAGCCACCACACCCACCCTAAAATGAGTTACTATGTGTTGTAAGCATAAAGTCCCCTACAGCCCCAAGTGTCCTCTTGTTACAAGAGATGTTACGACTCAAATTTAGTATTTTGCAGGAAAACAGACTATTGTCCTTACCCAAAACTTTAAGTTGGACCTCTTGGCCATGACTGGAGAACACAAGCAATTGCAAACCATGGACTCCACAGTTATACCGATACTGGATGGCTTCAGTGTCAGCTTTCCAAAGGTCTGCTTGCCCGAGACATAACTTCAGAATCACCAGGATTACTAAACCTAGAGAGCCACTACAACCCCACCCCATGGTTGTAGCGACCAAAAAACAAATGCTGCACCAGCAAGCTGCTACAGCTGGTAAAACAGGAGGGAGAGAGAACTGAAACTATAAAGGAGCAAGGGGGGAGATGGATTGGCTGAAAGGAAAATTCAGCCAGCAGTATCTGCAGCTGGGGATCTGCAGAGGCCAAATGAGGGACAGGGTCAAAAGAACAAAACCCAACCAAAAAAGAAACATACACAATATTCATCCAATAAGCACTTCCCTCCCAGTTTTTTTCTCATCCATTCTCGGGCTGGGCTGGTAAAAACAATCCATGTTAGAAATTATTGCTGATTAGAGAGTGAAACAACCCCACACATACTAACTTGGAAGCCAATTCCACTAAATTAAGTAGGGCTATCTAAACTAAGTTTTGCATAGACTTTACTAACAGGTGTTCTGTCTTAGTCAGTTCTTTATATTTTGTTTCTTATGCTGCCCCCTTTTCTGAGACTGCATGCTTTCGTTTTCTTTGAAGTTTTTAGGGCAAATAGAAATTTAGCAAGATAAGATAGGAATAGCTTCTCCAGTTGAATTTCATCCTATTACACACAGCAGTTTTTTAAAGAAAAAATACACTCTGGAGGTAAAGCAAAGATTTGTTATGAAGGGTGCAAATTTAATTATTTTTATGATGTATATAGGGTTTTTTTAAAAGAAATTAAACAGCAGCCTGCAATGTTATAATGTACAGTTATCCTGTTCAAAGTACTCCACACTATGCTTCTTGCCACCCATAGCTTTCCATATTTCTTCCTCTTGAGCATCACTGCCTGGGATAATCTGGGATTAGGCGGTTTTAGGTTTCATCCCCAAGTTCCTTCTCTTTTTTTTTTTTTTGTCTTTCTGCAAACTTTCAAAGCTTGCAATCTGCCCATTCCTCCTTTTTGTGATACACAGAGCCCAAAGATTGGAAGAAGAAAATATTATTAGCTCTGAAATGAAATAGGTGTTTCAGCCTCTATTTTTTGACTGGTAGGATGTTGTTTACTGTATTCCTTCCAGTACATATTCATGGTCTAGGGTAGTGTGAAATACTGTCAATAAGTCTAAAAACAACTGAGTTTTGGCCAGGTAAGTTCTTCTGAACCATGTAATGTACTGTTACTTGTAATCAAATAGATAGTAAAAGAGCAATTTGAAGTGTTTGTATTGTCAATTTTACTTCATAGCAAAACCACAAGAGTGACCCAATAAAATATATTTTCATCTGAGTGACAATAACTGGAGACCATCTGGGAATATTTTAAAATCTGTACCATTTGGGGATATGGTCACATCACTTACTTTCTAATTTATCTTGCTTTTCTCTGCCTTATTCTAAGTTGAATTAACTTTAATGTTAAAGCTAATTCCATCCTGACCCTAAACATGTCTATACCAATAAAATATCACTGAGGTAAATGATTGCAATATTTCCATTTAATATGTTTGGTATATTTGTTCCAGTCATGATTTGGGTTGCAAAAATGCAGGTGACCACTAGATATGTGGCTAAAAGCTTAAATGCTAATAAACACAGTTGTAATTACCACCAGAGTTTCTAAGGTTCTTAAAGAAAGGAGGATTCAAACTTTGGAAAAGATGGGCAAAAAATTAATGTTGAAAAAGGAAAAATGATCACCTTCTCTGGACGTAATGTTCAGGTGTGAGAGAAAAGACATAGATTTACAGCACGAGAGAGTTATACATATTTCCCATGATCATTGCATTTATTATCACAATGTTCTCATTTCACCGCATGTCCACTCATACATAGTTGGATTGTTAGATTGTTTTTTTCTACAATGTGAAGTCACAAGGGATGAAACATTCTTTCATTTTAAATATTGCTACTAGGAACTTCCAACCATCACTATCTATAGTTCCGCTTCTTCTCAAATAATGTGGGCTAGAATCTGGTGAACTTTTACATGTCTGTTAGTTATGTCAGACTTCTACTCTCCAATGCCTTTCCTGGGAAGTGAGTCTGTTAAACTAATGTGGAAATGGATCTTGCTGAAAGTTTTGGGAAGCAGGGACCATCGATCCAGTTATGCTGTACTGTACTAAAGATGCCCTTCTTTGGAGTATTGGTAATTCTTCCACAACTTCCACAGACTTTGCAAAATTTCAGAATTTCCAGTGTTGCTTTCAAGAGTCTGCTGCTTCATAAATCAATGATTGCAGAGTGAAATAATCATATTCTACCTCCTGAGACAAGCTAACACTTTCAGAGGAATTAAACTTCTCTAAGTGCCAAATTTAATTTGAATGAAGGAATATTTTTGCTTTAAGAAGTTTCCGTTAAGAAGTTAATCAGATTATTGCTGGCTTTTGTTGTGGATTCGTGGAAACTGCTTGCTAATTTTTTTTCCAGGTCTGTTTCTTTTTCCCAGAATGCAACCATTCTTAATTTCATAATATGCTTATACTTTCAATCAAAGCATCTTTCTGTTTAGTTTTCTTGAACTGGTTTTCTATTAATAAAACAGATTTGTTTAGCTCTGGGTTTTACAAAAGAAAATAAATGTGAGAGTTGCTACAAGCAGGCTGAGATCAGATTATGTTTCTTTCCAGTCAAAAAAATTATCACTGTTTCAGGATACTCTCTCTTATGGTTGAAGATGGAGGTACCAGCAATAAACTTGTAACATCAAGTACAAAAATGTTTGCTAGCCAGCAAAGCAGAAGTATATTTTATATTGCATTTATCCTCTCCCCTTCCCCCAGCTCCACCATTCAAGGTAAACTAACAGTTTATTTTTCTTCAATAGCTTGACATGCACATGGTTGCAAAATATTTGACAAAGAATTCCATGACATTTTGGATAGCAAACAAGTTTACTACAGGTTAAGTGGATTCCTGTTGGGTTGGAAAACATGCTGAAAGAGTAAAGAAATATTCTTCTCTATTTGTAAAATTACTAATAAAAGAGAATATTTGTAGCTCAGGATTGAAATGAGGGGTCATTGCAGCTCTCTGAGTTTGGTGGCTTTCTTGCAGATGTTTCATTACCCAACTAGGTAACATCATCAGTGCTAGTAGAAAGCAGGGTGTGCAAGAAAATCATCAAGCTCAGAGAGCACCAACGACCAGTGGTGGGATTCAAATATGTGAACAACTGGTTCTCTGTGTGGATACCACTTCTGAAAGTCCATTCTGAGCCTGGGCAACAAAAAATTAGCTACCAGTTCTGCCAAAGTGGTGCGAACCGGCTGCCAATGACCCCACAGAGTAAAGTGAGCCATGGTTCTTCAACAGACTGAAAAGAGGAAAGTTGAGTGGCATTGCTGCAAGACTCCATCCTAAGTTTTACATTAGACAGTGTTTGTTTTTATCAGCTATGCAACTAATGGCAATAGTTTCTACATTCTTTAATGGAATGGAAAATTGACCAGACTCAACCAGCCCATTATGTATCGGAATAAAAGATATCTCAATATAAGACTACAGAAGCATGTTGTTTGGTTAGCAATTTGGCAAGGAAAGCAAAAGAAAATTATTCCACATGGGTAATCATGGAGCTGCTTAGGGGAGAAAAAAAGGAATATAAAGTTCTCCTAAAGCACAAGAAAACATATGAAATAATTCTTTAACACTCTCTCCTGACTGTCATAGATTTAAAAACACAGCATTAATCTGGAAAGGGGGACATGGCAATTTGGATCAAGGTAAGAACTTCTTAGAAACTACTAGAGAATCCAACAAAGAATGGGAGAATCATTACAATAGATTGTTTGCTTCCTATCCCACCCAGGGCATTTTTCTAATTAATCTAAATCTTATTCTCTAGTCCCTGTCTCTCTAAAAGAAATTGAACCTCTGATTCTGACTTTGTCTCAGGAGAAGATTATACCCATGGAGATTCATTAAAACTAATATTGTTTGGTGGAAGCCTATTCTGGTTAAACTTTTTAATAACATTAACTCTTCATGCCAATTCCCCCAAGAGGAATTGCAATGCAAGCCTAGTGATCCTTCAGGGAATTATAGACCAATTAGGCTGATTGACATCACGGCCAGCTGTATGCAAAACATCTAGCTAACAAATTAGAGGACTGGGTCACTGAAATAATGTATTTGCAGAGTAACAGGCAAGGTTTAGAGTAGGATACTCAAAAATTTTGTACTGCATGAATTGATAACTAAGTATGTAAAACGTGCCTTCAGGATTTTGTTGCCTTTGTGGATTTCTGCGAAGCTTTTGATTCTATCAATAAAAACAGGCTATGGGTTAAGTTAGATAGGTTATTGATTTTAATCATGGTTGTGTTTAATACACAAGCACTCCAATTCAGATTAGGGTCATCCCAGGAGGACATCTGACTACCCCAACATAAAAATTTCTAAAGGATGTGAAGTTGCACTGCTCCTATTTCATCTGTCAGGGGTCTTCAAACTTGGCCCTTTTATGAGTTGTGGACTTCAACTCCCAGAATTCCTCAGCCAGTGTGCTTGGCTGGGGAATTCTGGGAGTTGAAGTCCCAACTCATAAAAGGCCAAGTGTGAAGACCCCTAATCGATGTATTAATTAGGAGAGTTTTGTTTCCCCAGGAAATGTGGGAAATAGGAACTTGTCCCTATTTTAATATTATGCAGATGACTTATTGCTTACATCAGTGTTTCTCAACCTTGACAATTTTAAGGCATGTGGACTTCAACTCCCAGAATTCCACAGCCAGCATTGCTGGCTGTGGAATTCTGGGAGTTGAAGTCCACATGCCTTAAAATTGTCAAGGTTGAGAAACACTGGCTTACATCTTACCCTCAGATAAGCTGGCTTGTTACGGCTCCTCAAAATACAGTACTGAATCCTGAAAAAGCAAAAGTGGTGGAAAAGGAACGGGGAGCCGTGTGTAAGTGCATGTGAGGAGCAACTGATGTGAAGGAATGTGCAGAGGGGGAGACTTTTGGCAACCCAGAGATTTCCCTGAAAGAGGCCTGGATTAAGACAGTGTGCGGTCCTAAGCTGGAGGGGGAGAAGAGGTTTAGGGCAGCCTCT